AACAGACCCAACTGAAATAAAAATGATCATAACAGAATACTATAAAAAATTGTGCTCCAACAATTTTGAGAACCTAGAAGAAATGGACATATTTCTAGAAACACACTACCAACCTAAGCTAACAGCAACTGAGATAGAAAATATGAACAGAGATCCATAACAAGAGATGAGATTGAAGAGGTAATAAAAAGACTCCCAACAAAAAAGAACCCTGGTACAGATGCTTTCACTGGAGAATTCTACCAAACATTCAGAGAAGAGCCAATACCAGTACTATTCAAACTGTTTCAGAGCATAGAAAAGGAAGAAACAATCCAAATTCATTCTGTGAAGCCGGCATAATCCTGATACCAAAGCCAGGCAAAGACACCACAAAAAAATAAAATTACAGAATAATCTCTCTCATGAATACAGATGCAGAAATTCTCAGCAAAATTCTAGCTAATAGAATTCAGCGTCATATCAAAAAAATAATACACCATGACCAAGTGGGATTCATACTAGGTATGTAGGAATGGTTCAACATTAGAAAATCAATCAATGTAATCTACCACATGAATAGAAGAATCACATGATCATTTCAGTCAACGCAGAAAAGGCATTTGATAAAGTCTTAACACTCGTTACTGATAAAAACTCTCTATAAAATAGGAATAGAAGGAAAATTCCTCAGCGTAATAAATGACAGCTATACAAAGCCAACAGCCAACATCATTCTCAACAGAGAGAGGCTGAAAACATTCCCTCTGACAGGAAGAAGGCAAGGATGCCCTTTTATCACCACTCCTATTTAACATTGTCCTGAAAGTCCTAGCTAGAGCAGTTAAGGCAAGAAAAAGAGCATCCATATTGGAATGGAAGAGGTAAAACTATCCCTATTTGCAGATGATATGATCCTATACATGGAGAACTCCAAAGACTCCACAAGAAACGCTACTGGAACTAATAGAAAGATTCAGCAGAGTAGCAGGATACAAGATCAACATACGAAAATCAGTTGGATTCCTATACAGTGACAAAGAGAACTTCGAAAAGGAAATCAGGAAAAGAATACCATTTATAGTAGCCCCTAAAAAGATCAAATACTTAGGAATAGATCTAACCAGCAACATAAAAGACCTGTACAAAGAAAATACTACTGAAGAAACCAAAAGAGACCTATGTAAATGGAAAAATATACCATGCTCATGAGCATGGGCTAAAGCATAACGGTGATTGTGAGGATGGTGCAGGACCGGGCAGCATTTTGTTCTGTTGTACGTAGGGTCACTATGAGTCAGAACTGACTCAGCGGCACCTAACAACTCATGGATTGGAAGATTCAATGTTGTGAAAATTCAATAAAACAATCTAGAGATATAATGTAATCCCGATCCAGATACCAACTGCGTTCTTTAACAAGATGGAAAAACTAGTCACCAACTTTATATGGGAAGGAAAGAGGCCCAGGATAAGCAAAGCATTATTAGGAAAAAGAATAAAGTAGGAGGCCTCACACTACCTGATCTCAGAACCTGCTATACAGCCACGGTAGTCAAAACAGCCTGGTACTGTTACAATGACAGACACATAGACAAATGGAGCAGAATTGAGAATCCAGAAAAACCCATCCACCTATGGTCAGCTAATCTTTGACAAAGGCCCAAAGTCCATTAAATGGGGAAAAGACAGCCTTTTTAAGAAACGATGCTGGCAAAACTGGATGTCCATCTATTAAAAAACTAAATAGGACCCATACCTCACATGATCATGGAAGAAAAAATAGGGACAATGCTACAGGTCCCAATACATGGCATAAATATAATACAAACCGTAACTAGCAATGCACAAACACCAGAAGATAAACTAGATAATTGGGAGCTTGAAAAAATTAAACACTTATGCTCATCAAAAGACATCACTAAAAGAGTAAAAAGAGAACCTACAGACTGGGAAGAAATTTTGGCTACCACGTGTCTGACGGGTCTAATCTTTTAAAATCTATAAAATACTTCAACACCTCAACAAAAAGACAAATAATCCAAATAAAAAATGAGCAAAGGATATATGAACAGACACTTCACTGAAGAAAATATTCAGGCAGCTAACAGACACATGAAGAAATGCTTGAGATCATTAGCCATTTGCATTAGAGAAATGCAAATCAAAACTACAGTGAGTTACCATCTCACACCAACACTACTGGCACGAATCAAAAAAACAAAATAACAAATGTCGTAGACGTTGTGGGGAGATTGGAACTCTTACGCACTGCCGGTGGGAATGTAAAATAGGGCAACCACTATGGAAAGTGATATTGAGCCTCCTTAAAAAGCTAGAAATAGGAATACCATATGATGCAGCAATCCCACTCCTAGGAATATGTCCTAGAGAGATGGGAGCTGTTGCACAAATAGACATGCACGCCCATGTTCATTGCCGCATTATTCATGATAGCAAAAAGATGGAAACAACCTAAGTGCCTATCAACAGATGAATTAATAAACTGTGGTACATACTCACAGTGGAATACTATGCAAGAATAAAGGACAATGATGAATCTGTGAAACATCTCACAACAGGAATCTGGAGGGCATTATACTGAGCAAAATAAGTCAGTCACAAAAGGACAAATATTGTATGAGACCACTCTTGTAAAAACGCAAGAAAAAGTTTACACACACACAAGAAAACAGTCTTTGATGGTTATGAGGGAGCGGAGGGATGGGGAGGGGAAACCACTAACTAGATAGACAAGTGTTAACTTTGGTGAAGGGAAAGACAACACAGTATAGGGTAAGGCAGCACAACTTGATTAAGGCAAAGTCATAACTTCCTAGACACATTCAAACACCTTGAGGGACTGAGTTACGGGGCCTAAGTACTGGGGACCATAGTCTCAGGGGACATCTAGGTGAATTGGCATAACATAGTCCATAAATAAAATGTTCAACATCCTACTTTGGTGAGTAGCATCTAGGATCTTAAAAGCTTTCAAGCGGCCATCTAAGATACATTTATTGGTCCAATCCTATCTGGAACAAAGGAGAATGAAGGAAACCAAAGACACAAGGAAAATATTAGTCCAGAGGACTGATGGACCACATGAACCACAGCCTCCACCAGCCTGAGCCCAGAATCACTAGATGGTGCCCGGCTACTACCACCAACTGCTGTGACAAGGGATCACAATAGAGGATCCTGGACAGAGCAGGAGAAAAACGTAGTCAAAATTCAAATTCACAAAGACCAGACTTACTAGTCTGACGGAGACTGGAGGAACCCCCAAGACCTTGGCCACCAGACACACCACTAACTCAGAACTGAAAATATTCAAACAGAATGAGGGGGATAATGTATTGTCGAAAATTGGAAAAGGTGTGCGGCAGGGTTACATTCTTTAACCATACATATTCAATCTGTATGCTGAACAAATAATCCTGAGAACCTAGACTATGAAAGAATTGAAGGGAGACGTTAACAACCAGTGATATGCAGATGACACAACCTTGCTTGCTGAAAATGAAGACATCGAAGCCCTTACTGATGAAGGTCAAAGACTACAAAGACTTCTGATCTCCAGTGTCCTTTCTATCACCAAGGCCATATTTTCCAACTACTAATCCTTCTTTGTTTCCAACTTTTGCATTCCAGTCACCAGTAATTCTCAGTGCATCCTGATTGCATGTTTCGTCAGTTTCAGACTGCAGAAGTTGGTAAAAATCTTCAATGTCTTCATCTTTGGCATTTCTGGTTGGTGCATAAATTTGAATAATAGTCATATTAACTGGTCTTCTCTGTAGACGTGTGGATGCTATCCTATCACTGACAGCATTGTACTTCAGGATAGATCTTGAAATGTTCTTTTTCACAAGAATGCAACACTGTTCCTCTTCAATTTGTCATTCCCAGCACTGTAGACCATGATTGTCCATATCAAAATGGCCAATACCAGTCCAGTTCAGCTCACTAAAACTTGGGATATGTGTCTTCAAGTGTTCTATTTCATTTTTGACAACTTCCAGTTTTCCTAGATTTATACATCGTACATTCCATGTTCTGATTAGTAATGGATGTTTGCAGCTGTTTCTTCCCCTTTTGAGTTCTCACATCAGCAAATGAAGATCCCAAAAGCTTGACTCCTTCCACATTGTTAAGGTTGACTCTACTTTGAGGAGGCAGCTCTTCTGCATTCGTATTTTGAATGCCTTCCAACCTGAGGGACTCATCTTCTGGCACTATATCAGACAATATTCCACTGCTATTCATAAGGTTTTCACTGGCCAATTTTTTCAGGAGTAGACCCCCAGGTCCTTCTTCCTAGTCTTTTTTAGTCTGGAAGTTCTGCTAAAACTTGTCCACCATGGACGACCCTGCTGGTATTTGAAATACTAGTGGCATAGCTTCCAGCATCACAGCAACGTGCAAGCAACCACAGTAGGACAAGCTGACAGATGAGTGGTGGACATATGTAGAACAAGTACATACAGCAGGCGTGGATAATGATACTTGTCAGCTTATGGACTGGGTTTGCCTCGGGGAAGTGGTAGGGATATTATTTCCTGTGTCATAGGGCTCTTATGAGGACGAATGAGTACACAGCCTGACTTACTGTATGTCATTACTGTTACTTCTTAGGGAACTGTTGATGTATCTTTTTCTCCCCAAAATTTAAAAACTGGAGCAGATTTTATTTTACATTGGTTTTTTAAATGTTGTAGTCCCACTCATATTTAAGTGGTCATGGTGTGCCAGGTATTGCTCTTGGGGCCAAAGATACAGCAGTGAACAAGACAGGCAAAATCTCTGCTCTCATGAGCTCACAAATGAGGGGTGACAGTCAAACAAGTAGAAAAATAATTGTCCTCATGACTGGCACTAAACAGTATGAAGGAAATAAAGCAGGGCACTGAGAGACTAGGGGGTGAGGGTGGTCAGAGATGGCCTCTCTGAGGAGCTGTTGAGCAGAGACCTACATTTTAAGAAGAACAAGCGTGTGGAAGTTTTTTTTTTTTTTTTTTTTTTTTTGGTGAAAAGCATTGCAGGCAGAGATAAAGGCGTTCAGATAGGAAAGAATAAGATTGATATGTTCAAGAAATTGCAGGAAGAATAAAACACTCAGGAATAAATTTAGCAAAAGTGGTGCAAAGTTATACTTTGGAAACTACAAAACGTTGGAAAAAAGACCTAAGTAAAGGGAAAGATATCCCATGTTCATGGATTAGAAAACTTAATATTGTTAAGATTGCAATACTCCCTAAACTAGTCTACAGATTCATTGCAGTTCCTATCAAAATCCCAGCTGACTTCTTTGCAGATATTGATAAGCTGATCCTAAAAAATGTCAAGAAAACCAGTGCAGCCAAAGCCCAGTGAAGGAAGAGGGGAAGTGGATGGAGGTGCAGCCAGAGGTTGGCACAGTTTTGGGATTTTGAAACCCTGTGAGCCACGGCAGGGAGCTTTGATTACCTCATCCTACCTCCAGTGGGCAGCCTTACGAGGGTATTACATAGGGGAGTGATAAAATTCAATTAGTTATTTGTTGCGTGCCCACTCAATGCCAAGTGCTGGGATAGGCATGAGTGATACGGCAGTGAACAAGACAGAATGTCGACTAAATAGAAGAACTTCAGCTTTTCAGAGGTAGGAAATGAGAGCATTCTCAGTTTGTTTTTGTATGTGTTGGCATGTATTTGTCATATTACTGACCTTCTTAAATATTAGGCAATATAGAGGTAGCAATGGTCAGTATAGAATATTTAGAAGATTCAAACCAATGGAGAAAATGCCTGTCTTTCAAGATCCTACCACTCTGAGATAACCACAGTTAATATTTACTGTTTTATCTTTCTTGTCTTTTGAATGAATTTATGATCAATACGTTTATCAAATTCAATAATAAGTGACGACCACCTCCCACTCCAACACTACAAAAAGAAACACAAGTGAGAATCGCAGCTTGTCTTTTGACAAATCAGTCCAGCAGCCCTGTGATGTGAATGTTAATTTCTTTCAGGTGGAGCTGATCAGAATAATGTTCAGCATCAATCCCCTGGAGAACCTGAAGCTGTACATCAGCAGTCGACCTCCCCTAGTGGTCTTTATGATCAGTGTAAGCGCCATGGCAATTGCTTTCCTGACGCTGGGCTACTTCTTCAAAATCAAGGAGATTAAATCACCGGAAATGGCAGAGGTATGGTATAGCATATTGTAAATTCTCCTGTGATAGACTGGCTGGGCCTGGTCGAGTGGGGAAACACATTTTGGCTCTCCATACCCTTTCCTCTGGTTGTGACCTTTTCCTCCCAGTGGGAAAGGTCAATATTTATTTGGAATGGTCTCTCTTTGATCTCTCTGTGACTTACTTTGTTAGGACCATATAGTTAGATAGTTATTGTTTGGCTGAAATAACACTGTCAGTTTAAGTTAGACTATTTCAGCAATGAAACAGATGCGTTCTGAAGGGTATATTTGTAAAATGTTTTGTATCAAGAAACTAGAGAACTCCTGGGATGTTAATTTAGCTCATTACAGATTTAGAAAACTAAAGATGGACATTTTAAAGCCACCTGTCAGCATAGAGAGCTGTCAGCTAGACTGATGACTTTTCCATTGGATAAAAAGGGACCCTAAAGAATTTAGAAAGCAGAATCTTATTTTCAAATATATTTTGTCTTTTTTTGTCAAGGAAAACTTCAGTTATCTCAACTTGCCTGCTAGATTTTTACATTTTGGTCAATTTAAATAAATTATTAGGGCATTGGTCGTTAATCCTTTGTCTAGGCATATTTTTTTGAGCATGTGTAATGCAGATTTATAAATTCTTGTTAAAAACAATAAAAATTTTATAATTCTTGTTTAATAGAGATGGGTGAAAGTATACCTATTAATAAATTTATTTTACATATTAGAAATTATGTTGAATTAATGATCTGGTGATTTCAGTGGTGGATAAAATTTCTGTTAGGACAAATTAGTTCCTGTCTTAATAGAGTCCTTGAGTGCCTTCTCAGACTTTTTCTTCTTGGCTGTGTTCATTGGTGGGAATGAGAGTCAGGATGGGGATTGGGCTTGCATTGTTGGCCATGTTGTATGTGCCTTGTGATGAAGAGGGGGGTTCTACTCAGTGTAGTTGAGATCATGGCTTTCTCTTGTGTTCTGTGGCATTCTGGATCATAGGTGATCATGGCAACAGGGACGGCCTTCTTCCTAAGTGAACTCTCTAACACAGCTAAAGAACAAGTTTGAACTATTTCTACCATCAAACCTTTTCGAAGAGTTTTTTACAAAGAGACATACTGGCTGGTTTAATTCTCCCCTTTTCTGACCCTGCCTGAATCTTTAAAGGCTGTACACACAGGCTGCACCCACATTAGGGATGAAAACCAACATTCTAGTCCCATCCCTTCATAACCAAAGCTGGGCAGCATGTTGGCAGTGCTCTCCTACAGAGCTTGAGTCTTGTTGAACACTTGGCCAAGGCCAATGGTTAAGGTGTAGCCTGGATAACTAGCCCTTAATAATCAAATTGGGTCCTGGCCTTGGCTGGTTTTCAAAATGGAATCAAGCTCTGTGGGAAAACAATGTCAAGATGCAGAACTTTTGTTATGATTGCTTTGTTTAAGTTGTTAGGTGCTGTGAGTCCATTTCAACTCTTAGTGATGCTGTATGACAGAGTAGAACTGCCTCATAGGGTTTCCTAGGCTGTAATCTTTACGGGAGCAGATCACCAGGCGTTTACTCCCATGGAGCCACTGGGTGAGTTCAAACTGCCAACCTTTCGGTTAGCAGCCAAGCACCTAACCATCGCACCACCAGGGCTCCTTATGATTAATTTAGTGATTTTATTTTCAAATGAGAACCCTAGGTTGTAGGAAAGGCAGTGATATGTTGTGAAATGTTTTGGGCTGTGAATCAGAGAATGTCCTGATTCTGCCTTCACTGTGGAATTGGACAGTCCCTAATTTGTTCTGGGCTTCCTTTTCCTCATGTCTGGAATGTAAAGGGATGACAATTCTATACACCCAATCCTATTCGTTTTCAGCCCTGATGTTCTAGAATGGTTGGCTGACTTTTTAAGTGTTAGGGAAAACGTAGTTTGGTATGTTCAGTGGTGGTCTTACTTAATGTCATACAGTTTACTGATGCTGTGTTGAAGGTAGATTTGCTGGACTGCTTGGAGATTGCTCATTGGGTAAATGGCGTTTTAAATTAATACTAGTGTTAGAGTGATTGGAAGTCTAACTTGGTTTGTCTTCACATTTGGCAGCGTTTTACAAAGTCATGTTGCTTGGGAGGAAGAAGTTACAGTGAGACCTGGTGTTGACTACTGTTTCAGGTTCTAAAGAGAGAAAGTCAGGTGTACAGAGTTGACCTTTTGAGGAATTATTTTAAGGCAGCCTTGTTTTAAAAAAACAAAACAAAAACTATAACTGTTAAATGAATTTGGGTTAATACTTTTAATATTTTACTATTCCTGTTCAAATGTTCAAAGTTTGATTCTGAGGCAGGTTGTTTTCTGTAAGTATAGTATGCTATTTTGTATTTTACATATTTTCTTGCATTAGTTGGTTTAATCTCAGCTTATTTAATATCTCATGTCAATGAAGTGTTTGTATCTTAGATTACAGCTGTGAAAGTGGTTTGGAAAGACACACCATTATGCCAACACAAGAGGCTGATGGCTGCGTTGTCGCTGCTCTTGTTAAACGCTTGACCCTGAACTCTGCAGTTTTGCTGTTATGGCGTGATGCCACACTGAGACTTATGGCTGTGTTCCTGTAGTGGGGGCACTTTGGGACCACTCACACTTGTTTCTCTGTTTCATTTTCCTGAAGGATTGGAACACCTTTCTGCTGCGGTTTAATGATTTGGACTTGTGTGTATCAGAGAATGAAACGCTAAAGCATCTCACAAACGACACCACAACTCCAGAAAGCACAGTGACCAGCGGGCAGGCCAGGGTGTCCACCCAGTCCCCCCAGGCCCTGGAGGATTCCGGCCCAGTTAACATCTCCGTTGCAATCACCCTAACCCTGGACCCACTGAAACCTTTTGGAGGGTACTCTCGCAACGTCACCCACCTGTACTCGACCATCTTGGGGCATCAGATTGGACTTTCAGGTATGTGCGTGTTAGCTGTTTCCTTCCAGACTGTCTCCAGCAACAACTATTACAAGACAGAGAGTAGTAGGAGTGTGTGGTTTTACTTACCATTCCATTTTTTATTTTTGCATGTGTGTCTCCTTTTGTTGAGTATGAACTACATGAAGTCAAGAAGGAGCCTCTTCAATCACTGAAAATACAATAAAATATGATTTAAAAATAAATGAAAAAATAAGGCGAGGAGGAGAAGGACCCATTTCCACTAATAAAGTGCTTGGCACGCAGTAGGCACTCAGTAACAGCCTGTAAGAGTGAGAAACTGAGGAGGCCCTGTCTGGCCTTAATAGTTACTTAAGATAATTTTTAATTCAGGTTTATCCTATTGAGTTTTTAATACTTATTACAAATGTTGCTACCAGCCTACAAATGTTTGAATGCCCAGCGTTTGTTCAGCACTGTGCTAGCTTCTGGGAACAACTAGGAAAAGCCTAAGATCTACTGTCTTCCCTTTGGAATTTTGGGATTCTGGGAGAGACACAGATAATGTGAATTAATATTTACCAAGCCCTTAGAATAGTTCCCGGCATGAAAGAAATGCTATATGAATGTTTGTTAAATAATATTAAAAATTAACACATATAAAGCATTGAGCTCTGCTCTTTGACCAGTACTAACCCTGTGACAGACTGTGATTTGGGAGAAGGAAAGAAAGCAGCAGAGGCTGGAATAGTCAAGAAAGGCTTCATGCAGGAGGCATGGGCCTTGGAAGAATAACCGTTGGTTCTTTGACTACCAAAAGCCTTTTATCCCGTTCGTGCCCGGTGGTACATATAGGGACCATGAACTTTTTCAGCCTCGGAGGTTTATTGGGAGGCTGCTGTACCACTGATAGTGCATGCAGCTGCAGGGCAGGGGCCTTTATGACTGTTTGAAACTGAAGAAATGGGCATGTACTGCAAATTACTATTTTTACAGGGTGTTGTATGAGGTGTCTGAAATTTTGGTAGGAAAAATAGAAATTTTGAAAATTTTTATCTATTCCACATATGTACCAATAGACTCTGGTGGGGACTCTGGGGTATAATTAGTGGTACTTCATATGTACCACTAAACACTTAGGATAGGCTTGTGGGAGGGGGCAAGAAAAAAAAAAATCCATCCTACCTACCAAAAATTCGGATACACTCAATGATTCAGTATGCTTCCATTAATGAAAACACATGGTATCAACAAAAAATTAAAGCAGAAAATAATGGGTCACCAAAGGGTTTTAAAGTCCCTGGAGGGCCATGGGCATGCCTGTCGGCCTCCTGTTGGCTATTACGGGTGAGAACTGCTCCCATGATCATCAAGGTAAGGGTGACTTCTGGGTTTTCCATGTAGCAGGTAGACCTTTCTCGTTTGTGGAGGCAGTTTAAGCTTCATCACTTACCAAAGTCTGTTAAACCCTTTAACCCTCAGAGGGGAATGGTGACACTTTGGTCATGTGCGTGGGACATTGGTAAATTTTAAGGGAAATAGTGCATATAAAAGCAGTTTGAAAATGGTAAGTGTGCTGTACAAATGCTAAACCCGTGGTGATGGTAATTCCCCCAGCTTGAGCTCTCCAACTTGGATGGTGCCTGGGCCCTGACTGAAAAATGGCCTCTCCCCTTTGGCCACATTGTGGCTTTACCAGTTGAGCAGGCCTCGTGGTCTGGACCGGGACTGTGTCCCACCTCTGCATGTATCTGCTGTTCCTAAAATCCCACAAAGGCAGGCGTCTGGCATGATAGGTGATTCCTGAGTGGTTTGATTTCAGGCCTTCAAGTCCCAGAGAGTAATAAATGTATGGATTCTGTCTTTATTCTCTTGTAGGCAGGGAGGCCCATGAGGAGATAAACATCACCTTTACGCTGCCTACGGCCTGGAGCTCTGACGACTGTGCTCTCCACGGGCACTGTGAGCAGGTGGTGTTCACGGCCTGCATGACCCTCACAGCTGCCCTGGGTGTGTTTCCCGTCACCGTGTAAGTGGTGCCCGACCCCTGGGTATGCGTGAGAAGAGTAGTGTACCACAAGGGTGACTGGGGGGCTTCAGCAGGACTCCTCAGAGGGTCCGGCATCGCAGGACTTTGGAGAGTTACCACTATTGGGATCTGTCTGACGAATTCTTCTGTTTTATTTAGAATTCTAAAGGTCGAACTTCTACATGTAAACACCAGAAAGTTAGTGCTTCAGCCAGGTAGTGAGAGCATATTGTCGGATGTTCTTGGGCTGCCTTTCCTGTGAGAGTAGGAGCAGCGTGTCACAGTCAAGATAAACTCGACCAGATCCTGGGCTGGTAGACAGAGATGACCAGAAAGTCCCCTAATTAAGGCACCCAGAAGACCAAGATTTTTTTCACCTTCATTGTCCAGAAAGGGTTAGGCGTATAAATGGAGCCTTATTTTCCATTAGTTTAGGCATTACTGTTTTCAGAACTTTTGCTTCAGTTGTTTTGAGTTGCAGTCAGCGTTACTGCTTTGCCTTTCAGTTTTTTGTTGTTGGCCTCTCTTTTCTCTGTGAAGGAGATAATGATCTATTAATAAAAATAAAAAAACCTATTGCTGTCAAGTCGATTCTGATTCATAGTGACCCTATAGGACAAAGTAGAATTGCCCCATAGGGTTTCCTAAGCTGTAATCTTTAGGGAAGCAGACTGCCACATCTTTCTCCCACAGAGCAGCTGTGGGGGTTCTAACTGCCAACCTTTGGGTTAACAGCCGAGCACTTAACCATTGAGCCACCAGGGCCCCTTGATCTATAACTAAACACTTGAAATAAACAAGATGCAGCCTATTTAAAAGAATTCTGTGGTGAATCCTTTTTTAATAAGAATTAATTATCCTGGGGTTGATCCATTTTAGACATTTCGAGGTTTGTAGGGCAAGATCAGATAAGTTAAACATACTGTGGTGCTGGTTGTAATAGCTAGTGGGGAAGTTTGTATGTAAAATCGCCAGGTGTGACTAAGGGATTTAGATGATTTGAGAAAATAGACTTAAAAGGAGCGGGGCCCTCTGGCCATATCACCTGTTGCTGAATTCTGAAGGCCAGAACCTAACACCCAGACTTCTTAATGTCAGGTGCCTCTTTTTTTTCTGTGATAAAGTTTATTTAAAAAAAAAAAAGACCTCAAACTAAAAATACAATGGCGTGTATCACAAAGAAACATGATGTTGTCAGCAACATGTCTGTCTCCGTTTACATCTCCTTCCCACATGCGTTGCTATGCTCAGTGTAGTGCCAGGTGCCAGTGGGGGGTGAGGGGACCGGGTAAATGTCTTGGGCTCCTGAGCACATGTCTTTCCCTCTCTCCCTGCAGACAGCCACCACACTGTGTACCCGATACATACAGCAACGCCACGCTCTGGTACAAGATCTTCACAACTGCCAGAGATGCCAACACAAAATACGCTCAAGATTACAATCCTTTCTGGTGTTATAAGGGGGCCATTGGAAAAGTCTATCATGCTTTAAATCCCAAGCTCACAGTTATTGTTCCAGATGTAAGTGAGAAAAACCACGCGTGTGTGTGCGCGTGCGCACGCGCGCACCCGGGAACTATTAGGCCCTGTTTGTCTCATTGGGTTGGGTAATCCTGTCTAGATTTCCAGCTGGGATAGGAGATGAGGTGGAGTGGTTGAGACTTGGAAGAACATGCCACATTTCTGGTCAAGAAAACTAGTCATGTTCTTCCTCTTCTGCATTGTGGATCAGCTGCTGTGTGCCTGACTCACAGGGGTCACAGGAGATGCTTGTACAGTCTTAGTGCGAGAACTGATGCACACACACCATTCTAGTGGAGTAGTTGTTCAGTGTCAGCATGAGCAGTCTAAGTAGTACTGTTCAGAGCTTAGAGAAGTAGAGTAGGCAGTGGAGGGAGACGACTTGGTGGCCAGATGTTGGGGGCTGACTAGGATGGGGATTAGCACAGAGGAGGGGGAGGCAGACGTTGTAATCTAGCCCGGCAGGCGATGTGCAGGTTTAGCCTTTAAGAGCTGCACTGACTGATGCTCTGTAAACGCCTTTACTTTTCTTTCCGTCAGTGTATGTTAGGGTGGATTTCTCCTCTCTTGGCCTGTTCCTTTTCCCTTTGTGTTGCATTTTTATCAAGTTGTGGAAGTTGGTAGACCAGGGGCCTGCAGGAGTGAACAGGAGATCAGACTGGATGGTGAGTGGAGGCCAGGTTCCAGAAGGCCTTGGTGCCTAGCTGAGTCATTTAGTCTTCTCAGGTGAGCAGTCGCCACCTGCATATGGGCTCTGTGGGATTTGTAAGGTGTGTGTTAGGAAGACTGGTGAGCCCACGTGCTGCCTGTGAGCTGGAGGGAGTCTGAGGCAGGGGACCAGTCGGCAGTGTTCTCAGTACTTGAGGCTGATGTTGTGAGGACTGGAGTTGTGAGGAGAAGGACTGGAATCACATCAGGGATCTCTTAACAGTGGGCGGGGCCTGGAGATTGATTGTACGTGTGAGTCACGGGTCACCTCTGTGGTTTCAGCCAGGGACTTGTAAAAGCTGGAAAGGCAGGAGGAAGGCTCTGACTCGTGAGAGGTGATGTGCTGAGGCTGTGGAGGAGTGGCATGGAGGTAGAACGCAGGCCCGGGCTGTCAACCGTGCACCCCAGGGCAAGCGGAGGAGAGGCTGTGTCCAGAGAGGAGCTGGGTGAAAGAAGGAGCCTGGGGCCTCTGGGGGAGGGAGACCTGCACGGGCAGAGTGTCAGCAGTGTGGAGTGCCAGGGCCAGGGCCGAGGACAGCGTTAGGGAGGTGTGGGTGGTCCCTGCAGGGCCCTCAGTAACACCACGGCTTCACTTGATGACATCCAGCTGCCATAGTTTAGAAGCCAAAAGGAGAAACCTCTTGTTCAGCTTCAGGCTGAACGATGATGCCAGTCTGGAGGCTTCTGTCTCTGGAAGCCCAGCTTGAAAACCTCTCATGAACTCAGTACAGACGTTTGTGTTGTCTTCTCTTCTTCATTTAGGACGATCGTTCATTAATAAATCTGCATCTCATGCACACCAGCTACTTTCTCTTCGTGATGGTGATAACAATGTTTTGCTACGCCGTTATCAAAGGCAGACCAAGCAAATTACGTCAGAGCAATCCTGAGTTTTGTCCTGAGAAGGTGAGTGGTGGAGGGTGGCCACGTTTGACTAGAGGTATCTGTATGCAGAAAGCCCTGGTTAGCCCTGTTCTGCTTGTTGTGGGCAATGCCTTTCCCCCAGAGAGGTTCCTGCTGGTCTTTTCATCAGAAGTAGTCTTTATCCTCAGCCTAAGTGACAGTGTTGGCTGTTCAGCCAGACACCCAGCCGTGGCTGCTAAAGGCACTGGCTGTGGGAACTTCTCACAGTCCTGGAGGGCAGTTGGCGGTGGATGGGCTCCCTGCCCTCCACTCCATCAGCCTGAGAAACCATCCCACAGAAGGCTGGTGAGGGCTCAAACAGTCATCTCTGTCCTGACACCTACTACAGTGCTACCACATGGATGAACCTTGACCTCATTGTGCTGAGTGAAATAAGTCAGTCACAAAAGGACAGATGCTGTGTGATCCCACTTACATGAAATATCAAGAACAGGCAGATGGATGGAGGCACAGTTTCTTGGTGGTGACGGGGGTGGGGCGGGCGGGAGTCATTGTTTAGGAAGCAAGGGGTTTCTGTTTATGGTGGAAAACTCGGCAACAGTTACGGCTGATGGCTGCACAGCATGATTAATGTAAACG